TCAATGCCAAAGACACCTCGAATGAATTCTACGTTAATATGATTTCAACAACGTAAAAAAAAATATAGCAGCAAATTCTAGTGGTCCATCAGAGTACTTCATCCTTGCGTTTTGTCATCTCCCTGATACATTCATCTCGGAGATCGTCGTACAAGGCACCCTGGGTGATTGCAAAGAGGTTTTGGTGTCGAAGTTGAGGTTTATGCGCTTCAATACACCTATCCAACCACCTAACCGAGCGTCGAGTAGACTCGTAGACTTCTTCCCCCAAAGTCTTGACATGTAGCACATGATCAAGCTGCATCACAATGTCAGATCCAATGGAGGCTTGGATTCGACCAACGGATTCCTCCGGTGTGAGGAGCATCTCGGAAGAGTCGTGAGGTGAGCAGAAATGCGTGCCTTGCTCATCGGTAGAGGAGAGCTTGGAAAGGGAAACCATCTGAAAGCCCCCCGAATCAGTGAGGATGCCACGAGGCCACGACATGAAGGCATGCAGTCCGCCAGCAAGAATTAGCGTCTCGGGACCCGGCCGATGACCAAGATGGTAGGCATTGCCTAGCAGTAAACGGCAGTCGATCGCCTCCAGCTGCCCTACTGTCACCCCCTTTATGGTGCCCTGGGTGCCAACAGGCATATAAACCGGCGTCTCCACCGGACCTGCAGGGCAGTGCGAGGGGAAGAAAAGGCGACACACACGAGCACGGGTCGTGGAGCACTCGAATACTAAATCGAAACGAAGAGATGGCCCTGTCCACACCGAGAGTAATGGCATTTTGCTAACCTCTTCTGGTGTGTCCTTGTTGATTGGAAGTTGGGTGCATACAAATGTCGGTGACGCCTGGAAGTTAAAAGTAGAAACAACACGTTCATATAGCATTGATGTTTTCATAAGTAGAGCGAATGGCAAAATATGTTGCCTTTCCCTACTGAAAGACAACCACAGCAAACGAGAGGTGCAAGGAAACCACTAGAGGATTAGAAAGACTAGAAATATATTAAGTGAAAAAAGTAATAAGCTTCACATAAGAACAGCAGTATATAACCACGAAGGAGC